GGGATCCGAACCCTCGGTGGGAGCGCCGCTGTGCTCCCAAGCGCCACACTCTACCGAGTGCGCCACCGGGCTGGCCCACACTCCAGTGTTTTCTATCAGATCACCTTTGGAGGTTTTAAACATATACATGTTAATTCCCAACTCTGACTAAAAGTCTCTGGCTGACAGATAGTATCTGTTCTTTGATACTATTGCTATGCTGGAGATTTCCTCTTGGCCCTTCACATCCACTCTCCACCCTCCCCCACCTGCTCTTTGCTGTTAGAGACGAGCTTCAATGACTGTATCAATGAGATTTTTGCCTTTTGACTTCCAGCTGGGTTTTGCCAATGGGAGCTATCAACAGGAGAGTAGAGAGCAGGAGGAGAATAACATTGGGGGTATTTATCAGCTTTACCTCCTCCCCCTCCTGATTGCTTACAGGGTGACTGTGGGTTGGCTGTGTACCTCTACTCTTTCCCATAGTATTGTCAGAGAGCCTCTCTCATAGGTAGAGCTGATCTTTTGGGGTTCCTTCAGACCTAGGGTTGGTAATGGCTCTCATGCTGTTGCTAGCCCCAAGTTACTGTACTAGCCTTTGTAGATCTCCCATAACACTTCCCAGGCCTTTGTAAATAGTCCCTTGGATAAACCTTCCTCAATTGCTCTGTTTAAGTTTGTCATCTCTTTGCTGCCAGGACCATAACTGGAACAATGACTTACCTTTATTTCTTTCGTATTGCTATTTATCCATTAGGGGGTTTCTTATTTCTTAATAGAAATAATTAACATGATAGAATGAGAAGTTAGGAATAGCACCAGTAGAACTGTAGAGTTTGAATGGGTTTTAAAACATATCTACTCCAGGTCACCACCAAATGCTGGACCCCTACATGAAATAGTTCCGTTTTATCCTGCCTCACCTTTCTAACTTTTCAAATCTTTACTGGCAGTTATCATTTTCTCCTCTAGGCTAAATACTACCAGTTTCTTCAACAGTTCATCAGGTAGCAAGGTTTCTAGATCGTTCTCCATCATGACCATTGGACATGTTCCTTTGAGTGCATTCTGTTTTGTCAAAGTTATTGTTTCCTGTTTAGAGAAACATTTGCAAAGTCAGCCAAATGTGGACCAGCGTCTCACCCAGCTGGAGAAGAACCCAGACCTCCCTGTCTGAAAGACGCCCAGGCTAAACAAGAGGAGACTGAAGGCAGTGGCTGTCATGTGCAGCAGCTGACTTGAAGGTCGAGGCCAGGTTTGATGGGGAAAACAGGTGCTTGGGTGGAGGCAGGTGCCCTACTGAAGAGGAAGCATGCTTTACCACAACGTCTGCTGGAGAGTCCTGGCTCCACCTTTGAATTTATAGGTTACTTTTTCTTTTGTACTTCTAGTTTTCTGGCCAGAAGGTAACCTTGATTATCTTGCAAAATAGTTAACACAGAGCCTGCAGCAGAAGAAATTCTCTTGGCTGCTGAGCTTCTCAAATTTGCACACTTAGACTCTGAGGACCTCAAATTCATAGAATTGATCGCCGCTATGATCCTTGGATTATCTAACTCAGGAAAAGTGGAGGAGCCAAGGGATGAGATATTTGCCCTAAATTACAGAGCAATATACTGGTAGACCCAGGACTGGAACCCGAATCCCCTTCCTGTCCATCACCCTGCCTCTCTTTCAGTTAGTCTACTCCATTCTTTCACCACATATTACAAAACTAAAATGAAGAAATTCATACTGTTAGTACCAAAGCACCCAAGTCAGACAGAGGCAGCATTTGCTTTGCACAATTGCCTTGAAAGTATTGGGAAAAGATAGCTATGTACACATTACATTTGACACAACTTCAGGGGTGAGGCAAACCATCATTTTATTTTAAAGGGTTTAACTACCTATCCTTTGCGTCTGGAGTCTAAACCTTACAGCATATAAATCTTTTCAATTGACTATTTAAAGTTATTTATTATAGATGTGCACAAAGGCAGTCAGTGTATTTACAAATAACCTGTGGCTTCTCATCAATTATAATTGGACAGAATTATTTCATTGAGGGGTGCTGTGAAAGGGGACATTTCTGAACCAGGGTGCTGAAAAGGTCACATCGTTAGAGATCTGA